CATAGAAGAATTGATGCTTTTGAGTTATGGTGTTGGAGGAGAATATTGAAAGTGCCATGGGCTGCCAAAAGAACCAACAGATATGTGTTGGAAGAAGTTCAGCCAGAGTGCTCCTTGGAGGCCAAGATGGCTAAACTTCGTCTATCATACTTAGGACATATTGTCCAGAGGGACCAGTCGCTGGAGAAGGATATCATGTTTGGTAGGTCAGAGAAAAAGAGGAAGACCCCCAGTGAGATGGATTGGCAAAGTGGCAGCATCAGTGGGCTCAAGTGTGGCAACAGTAGTGAGGTTGGCCCAGGATCAGGCAGTGTTTCCTTCTGCTGTGCATAAGGTCACTATGAGTCGATACCAACTTGATGGCACCTAACAATAACAACAAACCCCTGAAATAGTAGTCAGCAACAGATAAGACTGGCCATTTGAGGATTGATGAGATGATTGCTGAGTAGGATTATGGGACATCCTTGCATGGGAATGTTACAATGTGGAATACTGGAAATTGTAAAGAATGACTCAATAATTGTTTATATTGTGTTACAGGATAAATACAGTGCAATAGGTAAATTGTGAGAATTTAGAACATTGAGCACATTAATCATTTCTCACACAAGCCTTTGTAATCTATTACATGAGAGTGTGTTACTTGCTTTAGGCAAGTAAGCAGAGATGATGTGAATACTGCCTACCAAAATAGTTGTAATGATTTACTGTAAATGTGAAAGGTAATGCTAGACCCTTTACTACCTTTGCAGGTGAAAATAATTAATGAGAGACTGAAGACAGATACACATGTACCTTACCCATGCTCATTCAAGGACTGTACTGAAAAAGAGCTTGTGCCAGTTACGTGTCCTCACTGTGAGAAGAATTTTTGCCTGAGGTGATCACTTACACCATTCAAGCCCTGTATACATGTTTAAGTTGTATGCAAGCATGTGAGCTAGTGTTTCCTTCTGTTGCTCATAGACACCGTCATCAGTCAGATCATGAATGTGAAAAACTGGAGCTCTCTAAGCCTCGTATGGCTGCCACTCAGAAACTTGTTAAGGACATTATTGGCAAGTATCTAGAAAGCTTGTTATTTCCTTATTGCTGTGTATTCTGTTAGTTCCAGAGCCTGCTTCTTGTGTCTGCTTAGCAGTTATGGAAATTGTTAGCAACCTGGACGTTAATAATATGCCATGGATTTTGATCTCAGACAGTATTTCTCACAAAACCTACCTGGCCAGTAAAAATATTTTAAACTGTATAGAAGTGCCGTGCCACATATTCTCTTTTGCTGGGCCACTTAGATCATGTAGTTATTCATCACAACTAGAAACAATGTTCATGAGGTTATAGTAGTGCTTTGCATTCTCTAAAGACTAAACTCTAATCCTAGGTAGCTATCCTATGAATGCTATTGATAGTATGAAGTAACAGGAAAGAGTATGTATGTGAGATCAGTCTCCAGCCAATGTTAGTTTAATAGAATTTCAGTCCATATTAAGGGTAAAACTTTTATTGGTATTTTCTATCAACAAATCTCACAATGCTCTGTAGAAGTGTTAGTTGTTGTTTTGGAATAAATTGGCTTAAGATGGAAAGAAACATCTAATCCTGAGTTTTGTGATGTGAATGAAGATTGCATAGATCAATCTGGATGGTATAGTGATAGTCATGCAAATTCAGTACTTATAAAATGAGTGTGATTTCTATATCTCAGTTGTGTGTCATTTGTGCAAGTCTCAGGGATGCAATTGATATGTGTTTTATGATAAAATTGTTATGTGCTTATATGCATATGTTTATTTCTTAGATTCCAAGACAAGAGAGACAGTAAGTAAACGACGAAAAGGGGCAAAAAATAGTGAAACCGCTGCCAAGGTTGCACTGATGAAATTAAAGCTGCATGCTCATGGGGATAAGTCATTGCCACAGGTTGGTCTTAGAGATTTGGAGGGAAAAGAATAAATATAGTTGAAACTCCCTTTCTACTCCTGCCTCCCCTCAAGTACATCCAGCCTACACCTGATGCGTATCATTCCTAATATTACACAATATGTTGTTGTAGTTGTTTAGTGCCGTCAAGTAGGTGCTGACCCATAGCGACCCTGTACAGGGTTTCCGAGGCTGTAAATCTGTACGGGAGCAGAAAGCCTCATCTTTCTCCCGCAGAGCAGCTGGTAGTTTCAAACTGCTGACCTTGCACAGTATATGTCTGCATAAATAATAGTTTTTGAATGTTATGGAAATAGCAGTGGGTCAAATGTATCCTTCAAAATGCTTTAGTTTTCTTAATGCCATGGCTTTGACATTCAGTTCCTTTTTTGTGTGTCTCTCTCTATATTAATATCAACCTGTAGGGCAAGTCTTTCAACCTTATCCTTTACCTTTTCTTGCCTGTTCTTTTTACTCTTTCAAAAAAATTTTAGGGTCATTTTATCCTTTTCTGTGACATTGCAATTTTGATAATATTTGTACTGAATTTCAGATTGAGACAGTTATATGTATAATATTAGCACTGCTCATCCTTATTTTAATGTTCTATTTTTTTTAGGACTTTTATGTATTTAAATAGCATTCTGTACTATTACTTTTATAGCATTTATGTTTTATAAATACTATAGAATGTTCTTAGTTTTATTCTTAAATTTCCTAGTTTTATTATTAGGGTTTTACTTCTATTCTAAATATTATTATTATTATTTTTCCTAATTAGTTACTACTTGGTTTTGTATGCTAACTTTCTATCTGGCGAACTAACTCTCTTAATAGATTCTATACTTTGTAGATTTTCTGTAACTGATTTTTATAGTCAGTTATATCTTCTTGAAAATGATAGTTTTATCCTTATCAGTTCCCCCTCCAATTTTATTTCTGTCTTCCGCCTTCTTGTTTTTATTATTCTTGTTATTTGATCCTAGGTATTAGCTGGGATCTTCAATACAATGTGAATAACATGAGTAAAAGCAAGTGTAAAAATGGCACAGAGGGCTGCATCTGACCTCCTCTGACTTCATAAGGGAAAAGATTCAAACCCAACAGCAGCCCAAGACAGATTCATATGAGGCAGAGGTTAGGCAGACCTTCACCCTCTAATGTCAAGGCATTCTCTACCTCTTGGCTAGGTTTAATAATTCATTGCAATGACCTCACAGAACTCACAGACAATACTTATGGTTATGGGATTTACTAGGGAAGTTATAGGTTACATTTCAGGATCAAGAATGGCACAGTTCTTTTTCTTAAAATAAATAAATAAATAAAATCTTTATATATAATAGCAATTGTTGTTAAATGCTATTAAGTTGGTTCTGACTCACAGCAACCCTATATACAGTTTCTGAGGAGCAGTTGGTGGGTTTGAACTGCCAACTTGTGGTTTACAGTCCAGTGCTGATCCTACAGTGTCATATCAGGAGTCCATAACAGAAGTATAGTTATCTAAATAAAGAACTTTTTGTTGTTGTGTGTTATGTGCCATCGAGTAGGTTCCAACACACAACAATTCTGCATAGGGTTTCCAAGGAACAACTGGTGAGTTTGAACTGCCAACCTTGTGGTTACCAGTCCAGTGTTTATCCTCCTGCACTACCTCAGAACCCCAAATCAAGAAGTTTAATATTAGTTCATTCCTAATCCATATTTGACAGTTGTTTCAATAGTGTACTTTAGAACTATTTATTTTTCCTCGTCTGGGATCCAATCCAAATACTGTTTGATTTTCATGTCTCTTTGGTTTGCTTTTGTCAGGAACTGTTTCTCTTGCCTTTTTTCTTCTTTTATGTCCTTGATATTTTTGAAGAGTACAAACCAGCTTTTTTGTAGAAAGTCTTACAAATTGAATTTGTGTGATGTTTCATCATAACTAGATTTATGTCTTGCATTTTTGAAGGAATATCACAAAAGTGCTATTGTTACCATCTCAGGTACATCTTATCACAATGTGAATTTTTGTGTTTTTCCATTATTGGTGATGTTGCCTTCAATTACATAGTTAAGGTAGTATCTGCTAGATATATCTGCTGTAAAGTTACCAGTTTTCTCTTTATACCAAATAAGTAATTTATGGGGAAATACTTTGATACTTGTTTTAGTGTCTTTCTTGATTTTTTTAAGAGATACATTTAAGTCTATAAATTTCCCTATAAGTAATATACTATTCCCTAAAAGTTTACATTCATTAATTTACCCATTATAGAACATTTCTAGGTATTTTGTTTCCAATGTGATTTCTCTTTAATTTGAGTGACTTGGAAATATATCTTTGAATTTACAACTGTGGGTCTTTTTCATTGTTGTTATTTTTCTTTTTTTTAAATTTCTGTTGCATTTGTGTTAGAATCTCTGTGGTCTCAGTAATTTGAAACGTCTTTAGACTTCCTCTGAGCCTATTTCATGATCACATTTTATGTTCATTCCAAGTGTACTTGATAAAAAGGAAAATTCTTTCTTTGGTGCTAGGTTCTCTGTAGCTACTGTCTGCCTACAAACTTGCTGATTGTGATGTTGAGATGTTGAAGAAGTTTAGTTTGCATCTGCTTTATTTCCCAGCTTCTAATTCATCTTTTAAGACAGTGTATTAAAATCTTCCACTATGATTGTGGTGTTGCTCTTATTTCTTTATCTATTTATTTCGATAAATCTAACAGTTTTTCTGGGTTGTACAGTATTAAGTACATGGATGTTCTTTGTTGTAATAACTTCTTAATGAATTATACCTTAAATTCGATTATGAATGATAATAGTTTCACTACGTTTATTTTGGCCTTTTTTTCATATCTTTGTATTTGTTATTGTTGTTATTTGTTATTAAGTGTCATTAAGTTAGTTTCAACTCATGGGGACCCTGTATAGATTCCGAGGAGTGACTGATAGCTTTGAACCTTGCAGCTGGCAATCCTAATACTTATCCTACAGCGCCGTACCAGGACTCCCTTTATACTTAGCATTCTAAATTCAGGCGGCTAAGGAATGTTTCTTGTAAGCAGCATATAGCTGGACTATGTTTTTATTTTAATCTAGTTTAATAATATCTGTGGAGTCCTGGTGTGGCACTGTGGGCTAATGAGTCAGACTGCAAAGTCATTTGAACTTCAAGGTCGGTGGTTCAAGCTCACCAGCTGCTCCTTGGAAACCCTATACAGGGTCGCCATGGGTCAGAAACCACTTGACGGCACTTAACAACCGTAGCATCTGTGATAGGTGAGCTGAATCCATTGATATTTATTGTGATCACTGATGTTACTAAGCTCCTTTAGCAGTGTCTGTAAATGTCCAAAGGGAACATTTTACAAGCCAATCTCCTGCCTATAGGCACTCAACTTTACTGGGTCCGTGGGCCAGGATACTTGAAGCTGCTCTGTCATTCCAGCTGCCAGCTGTGCTGCTGCTGCTTTTCTAGGCAGGGATCTCACACTCCGCTCATGGCTCTTCTTTCTTGATAGTCCTAGGATCATCTGTTCCTGATTCTTAGGTGACTCTTTTTAAACCCGTGGTGTGTCAAAACTAACCAACAAGGGAGTAACTAGGATATATAATGCTAGAGGAACTGCCTCTAAATTCCTTTTTTGTTGATAAAGAGAGTAGTCTAATTTTTTATTTTTTTATTTTTATTTGTTTGTTTCTTTGTTCATAAAAGTACTGTTGTGTCTAGATACATAGTTAGGTCGTTCACACAAAAAGAAGCTGTTATATGAGTCAAAAATCATTCAGTTGCAAGTGACAGAAACTCAATTCTAACTGGCTGCCGTGGAGTCGGTTCTGACCCATAGCAACCCTGTACAGGGTTTCCGAGACTATAAATCTTTATAGGAGCAGAATGCCTCATCTGTTTCCCGCGGAACAGCTGGTAGTTTCGAACTGCTGACCTTGCGGTTCACAGCCGGATTCATAACCACTACACTACAAGCTTAATCAAAAACAAGAACTTTTATTTTGTTGTGTAATGTGTAGTGACAGGTATTGATCTAGTCTTGAGGATGACTGAATTCAAGGATTCAAATGATACTGAAAAATTCCCTGTTTTCTTTTTTATGTGTTTAACTTGTTTTTTCCATTTAAACTGATATTTTCCCTATTGGTGCAAGGAAGGTGAGGGGCAAACAGATCACTTCAGGTAAATCTAGATTTAATTCAAGAAGTCTTTAAAAAACTCAGACAAAAGAGAAATCCAACTACACACAGACACACATACAGTAAAACATAAAATCTCAGAAGAAGCCCTTGACTTAGGTCATGTGCCTGTCTTTGACAAATCATAGTAGCTGGAGGCTTGAGTCCTGTGCCGAAGTGGATATTTGGGTACTATGATTGGCATTCCCACTAAAAATCTCATTATTAAAGGATAGTCAGCCTCTTTCCAGAAAATGTGAGGAAGAAATGTCATTAAATAAAAACGGGTGTCTATTTCATGATGTTATTGGTCGGTGCCATTGAGTCCATTCCGACACATTTTGAGCCTGTGTACAACAGAACAAAACACTGCCCAGTCTTACACTATCCTCACAATCATGCCTCTTTTTAACCCATTGATGCAGCCACTGTGCTAATCTGTTTCATTGAGGATTTTCCTTTTACTCTGATACTCTACTATACCGACCATGATGTCCTCTAGGGACTGGTCCCTCCTCATAACATGACCAATGTATGTGAGACTAAGTCTCACCATCCTTGTCTCTAAGGAACATTCTGGCTATACTTCAAGATAGATTTGTTCCTTTTCATGGCAGTCCATGGGATATAAGACTCTTCACCAAGACCATAATTCAAACACATCAATTCTTTATTGGTCTTTCTTAATCGTTCTCCAACTTTCACATACGTATGAGGTGATTGAAAATACCAGGGCTTTGGTCAGTTGTACCTTAGTGCAAAATGTCATCTTTGCTTTGTAACACTTTGAAGAGATAGTTTGCAGCAGGTTTCCCCAATGCAATATATTGTTTGATTTCCTGACTACTGTATCTGTAGGTGTTGATTGTGAATTCAAGTAAAATGAAATCTCTGACAACTTCAATCTTTCCTCCACTTTATTGTGATGTTGTCTTTTGAGCCAATTTTGAGTCTTTTGTTTATGTTGAGGTATAATCCCTAGTGAAGTCTAAGTAGTCTTTAGTTTTCGTCAGTAAGTACTTCAAGTCCTCTTTGCGTTCAGCAAGCAAGATTGTATCTTATGTATGTCTTAAATATATAATTCATATTTTAACTTTTCTCTTTTTTCACAGACAGAAAGAATTTACTTTCAGGTTTTCTTACCTAAGGGGAGCAAGGAGAAGAGCAAACCAATGTTTTTTTGCCACCGATGGAGCATTGGGAAAGTCATAGACTTTGCAGCTTCTTTAGCCTGCCTGAAAAATGACAATAACAAATCAACAGCTAAGGTAACAGCTAGTTGTAATAAATTTTACTCTAAATGCTAAAGGAAACGCTATGTTAATATGTTTGCTTATTACATATGATTTATTTCTTGTTTTAACAGAAATTAAGGTTATGTCACATTACTTCAGGAGAAGCCTTACCTTTGGAAAATATTTTGGAAACATGGATTGCTAAGGAGGATTGTCCTTTATATAATGGCGGAAATATTATTTTGGAATATCTTAATGATGAAGAACAATTTTTAAAAAATACTGATTCTTACTTGGAATAGTCGTTCAAGGAGTCTAACTGGAAATCACAAGGAAAATTCTATGGACACTTTTAAGTCAAGTTTTAAATTATAAACCTTATGTATTTTACTTTACATTTGCTTTTAAATTTATTTCTATTTTGTCATAATGTACATTATCAGTTATTAAGTTTAGCTTGACTTTGTGCTGTAAAGTTTGACTATCAACTGATGTTCACCTATGAGCAAACTCTTGTATATCATAAGCTTTTACTGGTTCATGCTGAAGTAACAACTGCAAAGGTATATTTCTTATTTGTTAATATCAGTTGAGTGTCAGTGGCTCTGTTCTGTGTCATCTTCCCTCCAGGATTTTAGTTGAAGGAATAATCTCTGTGTGGTTTATTATCATTTTTTATGGCAGAGGAAGCAGGAGATGGTTGACATATGGGTTGACTTTTAGAAGATTCAGGTATCACTGTTGCTTTAAGCAAGTTGCATGGCCAAGTTTGACATCATAGGGCCAGGAAGTAGAAACATTCTACCTATATCCCGGTGTTTAAATTGATCTCATAGAAACTTAGAGATCTCATTCAACCGAGAAGAATCTGAGGCCTAGATAGGAAAATTGACTTTCATGTTCTCACCTAAACATTTCAGGGCATCGTTCTGATAAAACACCTCCCCCAGTGGGGTTCACTTTTTGTTTGTATGAATATGATATAAATGAGAAGAAGAATAAGGTAAGCTAACTTAACAACAGTGTCTTTATTGGTACAAAAGCAAAACACATGCCAAAGTAACTCCATTTTACTAAAAAATTCCAGTAAATCCTGCTGAGCAAGATATTTATCGATAGTTAACAAAATACTACTATATAGAAGAAACGGAAGCTTCTGTTCTTCGTTCCTTTTCTATTGTAATTGTCATGGAGATGTAGAGTGGCTTTAGCTTAATTAAAAGAACAAACTAAGATTGTTCATTTGGTTAATTTTATTTCTAATCTGCTTTCTTCACATTGTTTTCATGTGAGGGGTAAAATGACTTCCGACTATTACCAAGTGCTTAAACATTTATATGAGTCCTAGTGGGTTAGGCATTGTTTGGGTTAGGCATTGGTTGGACTTTTAACTGCAAGATTGGCAGTGCAATCCTATCAGCTGCTCTGTGTGTGTGGGGGGGGGGGGGGGAATGAGGCATTCTGCTCCCGTAAAGATTGACAGTCTCAGAAACCCTCAGGAGCAATTCTGCTCTGTCCTACAGAATCAATGTGAATCTGAATTGACTTGATAGCAGAGGATTTGGATTTTGGTATATACATTCATACATTAATGTAGCTCTAGGAATGCTATTTATGTATGCTTCTATCTAATTCCTATGGTGGAGTCCTGGTGTGGCGCTATAGAGTAAGCAAGGTCAGTTTGAACTAAATGATCAGAGTGGTTCAAACTCACCATCTGCTCCTCAGAAACCCTATACAGAGTCATTAGGAGTTGGAACCAATTCAACCACAGTCAACAACAGTGGTCGAGACTGTGACGAGATGTATGTTGCTGTTGTTAAGTACCGTGGAGTCGATTCCGACTCATAGAGACCCTGAACAGGGTTTCCGAGGCTGTAAATCTTTACAGGAGCAGAAAGCCTCATCTTTCTCCCGCGGAGCGGCTGTTAGTTTTGAACTGCTGACCTTAAGGTTCACAGCCCAATCCATAACCACTACGCTACCAGAGCTCCTTATGAAGAGATGTATATATGCATATAATGATAATGGGAAGAAGTGTGGCAAGTGTCAATGAGTGTTACCTGATAGTAAATGAAGCTAAGTTACAACAGTACTTTTGCCAGAAACTATAAAACCGGAGATAGATATGAACTTTAAATATATTTGCAAATAAATACCAGAAACCACCCTGGAGTATCTATAACAATGCCTTTCTCATAGTAATCAACATATCTTTTATGAATTGAACTAAAGCTAAATCTACCACAAAAACATAGCTATGGGGAAAGGGGCATTGAAGGAGAGGAGACAAAGTTGGCAGAAATTGAGTTCATGAGAGATTTAACAAAAGAAAACATGGCAGGAAGGACGTATCTATAGGCATACTGTGATAGGTGAGGTTGAGTCCAAGAGAGTGGTGCAAAATAGTCTGGCACAGGGCTAGGGACCAACATTCTCAGAGGCTCCAGGGACTGGGCCTCCACTCCAGCAGTCTTTACAGAGAACAGGGGTGTAGGTGGGAAACACTATCAATCCTTCCAGCTTCTCATTTTTTAATTCAACTCACTTTCTCAGATGTTCTTATAAGGCTTTTAGTTGAGTATGTGTTATGAAATTTTAGGGACTTAGTGTATCATTCTACCTGCATGTCCCCCAAAACAAATCAAATCTACAGTCATTAAGTCAATTCTGACTCATAGTTACCCTTTAGGACAGAGTAGAACTATCTCATAAGGTTTTCAAGTCTGTAAATCTTTACAAAAGCAAACTGCCACATCTTTCTCCTAACTAGTGCTTGGTAAGTTCAAACTGCCAACCCTTTGGTTAGCAGCTGAGCACTTTAGCACTGTGTCACTAGGTCTCATTTCCACCTGTATGCAAATATCTAAACTTTTCAGTAGACAAAAGCGTTTTGAATTTAGATGGGTGAAATATTCGCGTAAGTGTGGCAGTAAATATATACGTATGACAGATTATTGGATTTCCCCCCGCTAGATTTCTCAAATATTTCCCCCAAGTTTTCAGGCAATGAGAAGACTGGAGAACCTAAAGAGGGGAAAAGTTTTCAGATGAAAGAACTATGAAAAATCATTTTGCTGTTTGATATGGGGAACAAAAATTATCTGCACTCTGGTTGTTATTTATGTTAATCAACTTTTAGAAAAGACAAATACATCATTTATTTGTCGTAATCTCATTGCTTTCCAATATACTATTTCCATCTGTCAACAAGTTTACTATTCCTTTGTTAAAAACTTTTTTAGGCTGAGCTATGAGCCATGAATGCACCACTGTCTTCACTTCTTCATCAGAGGTGAATCTTCATCCTCAAAGGGCTGCTTTCAGGGACCCAAACAGGTGAATTCCAGTGGAGGAAGATCAGGACTATAGGGAGGATGCTTTAACACCTCAAAATGAAGTTTTTGCAGAGTGTCAACAGTGTGGACAGAGGTATGCAGACATGCATTGTCATGCAAGATCACAAAGCCATTAAATGCAGTCCTCTGCATTTAATCCGAAGTTTAGACTTCTGCTCTTCAGTGAGCATTTCACTGTAATGAACCCTGTGGATGGCTGAACCTTTTTCCTGTACTATTCCAATATTGACCCTTGAGAATCCTAGAATACTGTAAGCATTGATTTTCCAGTTGATGGTTGGCTTTGAACTTTTTCTTGGTCTGCCAGTTAGGATGTTTCTATTCCCTACTCTGCTGTTTGCTCTCAGGCTTGTACTGATGAATCCATATCTCACCTCAAGTAACGATTTTAAGAAATTTAACCTTTGAATATGGGTCCAAACTTTGTTTTCAGATGTCCAAACACTTTTGCTTATGGTTTTCCATGAGTTATTTTGGTACCCATTTCACACAAACATTTCAAAACCCAAGTCTTCATGGATTATTTCCTAGGCAGAGCCATGGCTGATTTATAAATGATTTGCCACATAATCCATTGTCACTCATCTATTTGACAGAATCATTTCCAATGTGTGCTCAGTATTGTCATCAGCCAAGGTTTACAATTTATTTGTTTTTTTAAAACTGGGAAAGTTTAAAAAACTGATGAATTCCATTCTTTTATTTCCAACATTGGTCCAATGTATCTATATATTTTTTCTTAGTGTGGTACATATGTATAATTGAAATCCAGGGTCTACTATATTTGAAAAATTAACCTACATAAACAATATAGTTTTCAAAAATTTGCCAGGTTGAACATTAAACATGGCTTTGATATTTTTTAAGAGATAATATTTTATGATTAATATACTTAATATTGTTGTTAACTGCCATTGAATCAGATCCAATTCATAGCAACCCTGTATAGGGTTTCCAAGGAGTGGCTGGTAAGTTTGAACTGCCAATCTTGTGGTTCAAACTGACCTTGAGGTCGAGTGCTTATCCTATGGTGCCATACCCAGACTCCAAGATACTTAAAACAATTTGTTAAATATAACAGATTGCATCATGATCACCTGAAAGTTCTGCTGAAATAATCAAATGAGGAGACTTCAAAAAGTTCATGGAATCAATCTTCAAACCAGAAGAACTAAATTGTGCCAGGCTACCACTGCCAACTGGTCTGAAAGGAATCACATTAGATGGTTTGGATAGAATTAGAGGAAAACCGTGGGGTAGTGGATTATTTAATGCATTTTCTATCTGCGAACCTTAAGGTCAGCAGTTCAAAACTATCAGCTGTTCTGCAGGAGAAAGATGAGGCTTTCTGCTCCCATAAAGATTTACAGCCTCGGAAACCCTGTACAGGGTTGCTATGAGTCGGAATCGACTCCATGGCACATAACCACCACCACCTTTTATCTTTAGTCTTTGTAATTTTTACCACACAACTCTTTTCTTGATGGGTCTAGGTAAGAAATGAGGGAAAGAGGCTAATAGGATGTTATGATTCAGTTAAGAATGATAACACAGTTGTGAAGGTAAAAGCTTAGAACTCTAACATAGGTGTAAAATGAGCCATCTCAGAAGCATCTCAAAGAGTAGTAGCTGGGAGTGAAGTGCATCCTTTGGACCTGGAGATCTCTGCATTCAATCTCCTCGAGCCAGGGACAGAAAGCTGTTACACCGAAGGAGCAGCTGCAGAACCAAGAACCAAAGCACAAGACAGAATGGTGGATGGACTTCCTGGCCCACGGAGCAAGTAAAGCCTTTGGACAGGAGGCTCATTTGTGGAGTTGTGTGTCTCTAGGAACTAAATTGGGGAGCTAGGTTAGCTAACCCACAAAACTAGCACTCAGTACCTTTGGGCTAAGGTTTATATTAGTGTAGAGTGTCCTTTGGGCATTTCAGCGGCCCTAAAAGCCTTGTAATATTGCTGAGCAGGGCAGAGGCCAGACAAAGGGGCCAAAGGCCAGAGAGAGGCCTGCCTGCAAGCACTGTTAGAAGAGGCTGTCCTGATTGAAAGAACAATGTGCCCCGAGCATGTTCTGATCCTGCATCGTAACTTGTTACGTTTCCTCATAGCTGTCAGTATGGTGTTGGAGCTCTATGTGGCCATTGCGGTCAATCAGGTCAATCATTGAACCCAGTTGAGTGAAGAATTCTTTAGTTGGAGGGATGGTTGGTATCATTTTTTGCATGAGTACAGAGTCAAAATCATTAAAAAGAACAAGATTTCTGTCTGGATAGAGACTGGGGAAAGTCCTGAGGCTATAGACCGAAAAGAAACTCACCCCTTTGGCCAATTTTCAGCTGAACAATAGGTAAATATATAAGGTGAATAAGACTAGGGAGAGACACACACCTTAAAGTTATCAACCATTTGAGAACAAAAGTCAGCATGTACCCAAGGATTAAGTTCAGAAGGGTTTAGGAAATGAGGAACACAAACGAGAAATACAGGAAGAAGTGGGATTATTGCTGTTGTTACACGTCTTTGAGATGGTTCTAACTCAGCAACCCTGCATATGGTTCATGAGGAGTGGTTGGTAGATTTGAATCACCAACCTTGCTGTTCAAACTGACCATGTGCCCAGTGCTTATTCTATAGAGGGATAGCGATGTTAGATTGTGGGGATTGCAATCAATGACATGAAACAAAATGTATATGAATTGTTGAATGGGAAAATGTGTGCTCTGTAAACACTGAATTCAAAATAATTTTAAATCAAGAAAATTGGAATTGAAAGATAGTGGAATTTTTCCACTAATTTTTTGACGCCCCTTGTTTGTTTAAAGGAACCATGGTGGTGCTGTTAGATAAGCACTGGCCTGTTAACTGCAGTCTGCAGTTCAAACCCACCAGCCACTTCGCAGAAGGATGAGGCCATCTGTTGCCAGGAAGATTGACAGGCTCAGGGTTGCTCGCTGAGTCAGAATCAACTCAGTGGCAGTGGGCTTGGTTTGATTTGTATGTTTAAGGGCTACTGGATCCACAGGCTCAATGTTGTTGTTAAGTGCCGTCGAGTCGGTTCCGACCCATAGCGACCTGTACAGGATTTCCGAGACTGTAAATCTTTACGGGAGCAGAAAGCCTCATTTTTCTCCCGTGGAACAGCTGGTAGTTTTGAACTGCTGACCTTGCGGTTTGCAGCCCGATTCGTAACCACTACGCTGAGCCTATTGAGCACTGACAGGCTCAATAGTAGATTTATTTTTGTTTTACTGCTCAGCCTCAGAAGTCCCTCCCCTTGTTTGGAAAATAACACTATTGTGCGAGTCTATGGACTGACATGCAAAAACCAGATACTTCTGATCCCTTCAGCTGAAGCACAGCATATAAACTAAGTTGAGTAACTGAATGTCCTTGCCCTGAGCTATTAAAACTGTTTTTGTTAAGTGCCATCAAGTAGGTTCCAATTCATAGTGACCCTGTATGGGGTTTCCAAGGAGCAGCTGGTGAATTTGAACTGCTGACCTTATGGTTTGTAGTCCTGTACTGATCATAATGCACCACACCAGGAGTCCAAGCTGGGGATTGTTGCTGTTGTTAAGTTGCGCTGAGTCGATTACAACCCATAGCGACCATGCATAGAGTTTCCGAAGAGCAGCTGGTGAGCTTGAACTGCCGACCTTCAAACAACTTTGCAGTCTGGCGCATTAACCCACAGCACCACACCAGGACTCCCAAGCTATGAATAGGGAATAGCAGTCAATCGATTCTGACTCACAGTGACCCTGTATAAGGTTTCCAAGAAGCAATTGATGAGCTTGAACCACTGACCTTGTGGTTCAAACCAACCTTGCATTCCAGCACATTAACCCACAGCGCCACACCAAAACTCCAAAGAAGTAATGTTGTTGTTGTTGCCAAGTGCCGTCGAATCTATTCCGACCCATAGCGACCCTGTATAGGGTTTCCAAGGAGTAGCTGGTGAGCTTGAACCGCCGACCTTGCAGTTCAAACGGCTTTGCAGTCTGGCGCATTAACCCACAGAGCCACACCTGAACTCCAAAGAAGTAGTAAGAGATTACCATTCGTTCAGTTGCTCTCCCTTGCTTTACGGTAAGCATGTCTAAGTGTCTAGCAGCAGTGGCCCCTTATCCAGACCGTACCTTATGCTGTTGATACAGCCACCTACTTTCCCTAGCGTCCCAAGCTACTCAATAACCATCCAGCAAATTATTTTTCTACTCAAGAAGGACTCCCAAAATCAGTTTCAGTTGTGCTCTAGAATTGTGTGAAAACTAGTCAGCACATAAGGCTATTGCTGAGTCAGCTGTGTATGGACCATACATCTAAGTAATGGAGCTCTGGTAGCGTAGTGGTTACGAATCAGGCTGCGAACCGCAAGGTCAGCAGTTTGAAACTACCAGCTGCTCCACAGGAAAAAGACGAGGCTTTCTGCTCTCGTAAAGATTTATAACCTTGGAAACCCTGTATAGTACAGCGTCACTATGAGTCGGAACTGACTCCACGGCACTAACAACAACAACAATATCAGGAGGAGACCTGGTGTGGCGCTGTGGATTAATGCGCCAGACTGCCAGACTGCAAAGCCGTTTGAACTGAAAGGTTGGAGGTTCAAACTCACTAGCTGCTCCTTGGAAACCCTACACAGGGTCGGGTTGCGATGGGTGGGAACCAACTCGATGGCACTTCCCAACAACAGGAGGAATCCTAGAATAAGAACTTGACCGCAGGTCCTTTGAATCACAAGGTCAGAAGTTCAAACTCACCAGCTGTTCCTTGGAAACCCTACATAGCGTCACTATGAGTTGGAACCAATTTGACGGCACTTAACAACAGCAACAATGCTTCAGGAGGGCAGAGACCTCATCTAGCTTGGCCTCTGGGGTTTACCCAACTCCTATCTCAGTGTCAGGAAACAAATATTCAGCACATATTTAGATTTGAATGAACAAAAGCATAACACTTAATTTAACAAGCCTCCTTAATATCTATTTTAGGTTTTTGGATCCTGACTGCTTTTACTGTAGATTTTTCTTAGGAAAGTGTTGTTGTTGTTGTTATGTGCCGTGGAGTCGGTTCTGACTCATAGCGACCCTGCATAGGGTTTCCGAGGCTGTAAATCTTTACGGGAGCAGAAAGCCTCATCTTTCTCCCGCTGGTAGTTTTGAACTGCTGACCTTGCGGCTCACAGCTTGATTCTTAACCACCATGCTACAGGATCAAAAATGATGGCACCAAGGTTTCAAGTTCAGGTAAATAAGATGAGTTGCGATAAATGAGGAAGTCTGGAGGAAAGAGATTGTTTTCATTGTGAAAAATTGAACCCGTTAAATACCAGGATTTCTACATTTTCATAATTACAGGCTAAACAGGTTATGTCACTACCTAGATCAACGTTGTTTTAAAAGTACAACAGTCCCTCCTACTGAACTTTGATCCACCATAAACAACTGTGAACCAACTAATGCAACATCAGACGGTGGTGACTGGAATATCTGCAAGAGGCGTGCTCTTTAGAGTTTTTAACCTGGTTTTGCTCGTAAGATTTATTTACACTTTCAAGATGACCAGAAAACTTTTTATTGCCTTGCTTTTGCTGTTTGTGATTCTAGGAGAAGCAGAGAAGTCCTTTATCAGTTTTTTGAAAGTAGAAAAAATGGAAACACTATTTTCCAGAAAGACTGAAGGAACTATCATTGTTAGTTCAAGTTACAAAGAAAAATGGCCAAACTCCAGCTACCTCTTTGTGCTAGTAGAAGATCCCAACATTCTGCAAGTGGTGAATGTGACCAAGATCTCTCTGGATGTTACAAACTTTACCATAAACTTGGTGACGCATGAAGGAGGAGAGACAAATTTGATCATTCAACTATGGGACTCTGAAGGTAGGCAAAAACAACTCATTGAAGAAATTAAGAATGTCAAAGTCAAAGTACTCAAAGAAAGAAAAAATCCTTTGCAGGCATCGATGCATTTTGACAGGAATATCCTCATGTTTATTCTGCCAATGATACTGTTAAATAAATGTGCATTTGGTTGCAAGATTGAACTGCAAGTGCTTCAAACAGTATGGAAGAGACCTTTGCCAGTACTTCTTGGGGCAGTTATACAATTTTTTCTTATGCCATTTTGTGGATTTCTTTTGACTCAGATTTTGGCATTGCCTGAGGCACAGGCTTTTGGATTTGTTATGACCTGCACATGCCCAGGAGGAGGTGGGGGCTATCTCTTTGCTCTGCTTCTAGAAGGAGATATTACTTTGGACATTTTAATGACTTGTGTGTCAACATTACTAGCCTTGATAATGATGCCTGTCAATTCTTATGTATACAGTAGGCTATTAGGGTTATCAGGAGCATTTCATATTCCTGTTTCTAAGACTGTGTTAACACTCCTTTTCATACTTGTACCAATATCAGTTGGGATAGTCATCAAGCATAGAATACCTGAGAAAGCAAACATCCTGGAGAAAATAGTTAGACCTTTGAGCTTTATTTTAATGTCAATAGGGATTTATTTAACATTCAGACTGGGATCAGTATTTTTAAAAACAGTTAACCTAGAGGTGCTTCTATTGGGTCTCTTAGTTCCTGCTTTGGGTTTATTGTTTGGATACTCCTTTGCTAAAGTTTGTATGTTGCCTCTTCCTGTGTGTAAAACTGTTGCTATTGAAAGTGGGGTACTAAATAGTTTCTTAGCTCTTGCTATGATTCAGCTCTCTTTCTCACGGGCCAAGGCAGACATAGCTTCGGTGGCTCCTTTTACAGTAGCTATGTGCTCTGCATGCGAAATGTTGCTCATTCTTCTGCTCTACAAGGTGAAGAACACATGTAGTCTTATCCTAGATGAGAAAAGAAAAAAAAATTCCCCTAGTTTAACAATGAAAGCATTATTGAATTCCTACTCAGGGTGAGGTACTGTGGGGGATTTAAAAAATAAATAAAATGAGACCTGTTCTCAAGCCTCTTAGGAGGCTGGTTGAAAACTTGATATTAGGCCAAAATTTGTACATGCTTACACCCCCACTCCCCGCCCCAGAGAATGATAGAATAGTATTTGAATATGATACTTTATTATTAACTCTTAAACAGGAAAGAACAATAAATTCCTCCCTTTTGGTATTAAGTGTCGTTGAGTCATTTCCGACCCATAGCGACCCTGTATATGGTTTCTGAGTAATGGTTGGTGGGTTTAAACTGCTGACCTTGCATTCTAGCACATTATCCTGCAACACCACCCCATGACACCTAAAGAATGGTATCCATGTAACAGGCATTCAGATCTTTTAGGATCTCTCATGGTCTCATCAGACAAATATGTCTCAAGCTAAACGTAGCCTCTGTTCTCTCATAGCTGTGCTTCCTGTTGTCTTCCACATCTCTCACTAGAGGTATTACCATTTATAATGAAGCCCAGGATCATCTCCTCTCTTCTTTAAATCCAGCCATTCTCCTACAGAAGATTTCCTATAATATCTTTTTATCTAGCTCCTCTCCAACCCCAGTCTACTATTGTTCTGCCTTATAATAATGTTTCTTCCCTAACTGGCTTTTGGTTTCTCATTCTACCCTATAATCACTATAAGATTAATCTTCCTAAGGTCTAATTTTGACCATTTAGCAAGGCTTCTGTGGCTCTTTTTACAGTAGCTATGCATCCTGTACACGAAATGTTACTGATCCTTCTGTTCTACAAGGCAAAGAAAACATAGATCCTTATCATAGATTTAAAAACAAAAAATTCCCTGCTACAAAGCCTTTTTCCTTTTGAATAAAGTCTTATTACATTCTATTATCTGATTCCAATCTAGCTTTCCAGTTTTATATACTCCATTTATTTACACACAACCTTTACTCCAATCAAACAGGGTAACACTTAGTATCTCATGAATACACTCTTATTTATGCTTTTCCTGCTACCCCAGGGTTCTCACCTCATCTCTTTTAATCTTTAACCATTTTACAAATCTGTCTCAAATATCACCCTTGCTGCAAAACATTTGCCAATTCCACTTAGCTCCCTGAGAGTGAATTTTTTTCTATATTCTCATCATACACTTTTATTCTTACTGTATTAAGTACAATACAGACATTTTACAGCTATTTTTGTTTCTGTTTTATCCTTCCTTTTTTGCTATAAATCCTTGAGTAGGAGAATTACATGTATTCATTTGGAGACTCCACATAATTTCTAGTATGTAATTATCTTCTAAATGATAGTTCAAATAAAGAGTTGAAAACACAGACTAAGGCCCAAATAAATAGTGGAACTTTTAAATATCATTTTTGAATTTTCAATGAAACTTTTTAGCATCTACTTCCTGGAGTCCTGGTATTGCACTGTAGGATAAGCACTGGACTGCAAGGTCAGTTTGAATTGCAAGGTTGATGCTTCAGATCCAACACCTGCTCTTCAGAAATCCTATACAGGATGATTATGAGTTGGAACCGACTCCACAGCACTAATCAACTTTCAGTTTATTACACTTTTTGAAAGAGGGTGGGCAGCACGAATAAGAAACAGCACTATGAATAATCCTGTTTTCCCCATTTCCTAGCCTTGTGACTTTAAGTAAATTACTTAATTTCCCTAAGGTACAGTTTTCTCAAGTAAAACATGAAGATAATGGGGTCAACTTCATCGGAATATCTTGCAGAATAAATTGTATCTTACATAAAGTGAGCTTAGCAAGTGCTCAGTAAATGTTAGCTGCTATTATAGTATCAGAGTTTGACCTTTTTCTTGATATATCTCTTATTGGTTTGGCATAGTAATCTGATAATTAGATATGAAACCTAAAGCATTCAGCATTTTCCTGAGTTATATTTTCCAACTTGCCCATGGTATTCAGGATTTTTTGTTTTCTCTAACAGATAGATGATAAGACAACCAAAGTTCTTTGTTTCAGTTTCACCAAAACCAATGATAAAAACCAAAATTTATAAAATAAGTATTGCCTATGTGAAATAATTTTCTACTGACTCCTTCAAACAGAAATCTCTACCTAGAGTTTAAAATATAATTAAATATGCAAACACTTAATTTTTTCATGAACACTGATTGGTGACAGGTGGTAGTAGTGGTTATGTTCCATGGTTCGGACCCATAGCGACCCTGTACAGAGCTTCTGAGGCTGTAAATCTTTACAGAAGCAGAAAGCCTCATCTTTCTCCTGAGGAACAGCTGGTAGTTTCGAACTGCTGACCTTAACTCTTGCAGCCCAATTTGTAACCACTATGCTACCAGCGATTGGAGGACTGCCTTTATATTTAGTTGTACTTCTCTCAATAATCATGTGACCTCAAGCAAGACACATCTTTACACTTTGTTTTTCAAAGCAATAAAATGAAAGGATTTGGCCAAGGTTTTAAATCTTTGCTCAGCTGTATTACAGCTTGAGATTCTGGCACAAAACCTAGCACCTAGCACTATTGGCAGGGTGATAGGGTAAAGTGGAGAAGGTTCACCACCCACTGCTGTTACTTTCTAGGCATTGTTGTTGTTGTTATGTGCCATGGAGTCGGTTCCGACCCATAGCAACCCTGTACAGGGTTTCTGAGGCTGTAAATCTTTACGGGATCAGAACGCCTCATCTTTCTCCCTCAAAACAGCTGGTAGTTTCGAACCGCTGACCTTGCGGTTCGCAACCCGATTCGTAACCACTACACTACTAGAGCTCCTTTCCGTAAAGATTATAGGCTTGGAAATGCTATGAGGCAGTTCTACTTTTCTTAAAGGGTCTCTATAAGTTGAAAGTATGACTTCCTGACCCTTACAAGGGATGATTCTATGATTCTGTATTCCAAGAACAACAGTTCTATGATACATATACTTATTTTGGTGTTAAGACAAAAATCATATTAAGCTATTAATAGAAATTGAAGTTTATTTAATATAAAATCTGTAAGTCAGAGTAACATTTCAACTTGGGAGTAAAAAAGTGTTCCAAAGTAAAAAGAACTTCCAAAGATTTTTATATACCAAATTATTGACACTGGAGTTCTGGTATAGCATTGTAGGATAAGCACTGGACCATAAGGTTATTTGAAAGGCAAAGCTGTTGTTAAGTGCCTTCGAGTTGATTCCAGCTCATAGCTACCCTGTGTAGGGTTTCCAAGGCGCAGCTGGAGAGCTTGAACACTATACAGGGTCACTATGAGGCAGAACCAACTTGACGGCACTTAACAACAATAACATTATTGACATTTCCATGGACATGATATCAGAACAGTTTCATGTAATAACAATTTGCTTTAAATTACAGCTTGTAGGAGTCCTGGTATGGTGTTGGAGGATAAGCACTGGACTGCAAGGTAGATTTGAACCACAATGTTGGCAGTTCAAATCCACCAGTCACTGACGCTAAATAAGAACAGTCTGACTATGTAGTGCTGTAGGATAAGCACTGGATTGCTTATCATGAGGTTGGTGGTTCAAACCCACCAACTGCTCCTCAGAAACCCTATACAAGGTAACTATAATACAGAACTGACTTAAAGGCATTTAAAAACAACAAGAAGTTTGATTTTGGAGTTTGTTTCTAACTGCACATAGATAATTCTTTAGGAGCACAATGTTTAGGATGAAATGTTCTTTATTGATTTATCTAGTACATTGTTTGACTCAATGGTGATTTTAGGAAAGCAACTGTCTCAGTGATCAGGTCCATAGATTGATAATCTCAGGGTGATAGTTTGGGTGTGTCACCCCAACTTCCATGGACCCTAGAAATCTGGATTGCAGGATAATTCGACCCTGTTCCTCACTGACAAAGCTGTTGATATTATAGACGCATATCAGAAAGTGAACCAATAACTGCAACTCCAACCTGCTCTACCAAAAGATTGTTGTTGTTAAGTGCCGTGGAGTCGGTTCTGACTCATAGCGACCCTGTATAAAGTTATGGAGGAGCGGCTGGCGAGTTTGAACCGCCGACCTTGCAGTTCAAACCAACTTTGCAGTCCAGCACATTAACCTGCTGCGCCACACCAGGAAATTTTATTTAATATCCTGGATGTCTGTCTCCCAGGAGCACCTGGACATTGTGGCTGTAGATTTGATTTAAATAAAAAAAAAAAACAAACAAAGTCCGCTTAACAGTTAACTATTTACTGGCATGGTGGTGTAGGATAAACACTGAACTGCTAACCACAAGGTTGCTGGTTCAAACCCAACAATTGCTCCTCGGCAATCCTATACAGCGTTGCTATGAATCAGAACTGACTCAATGGTACTTAGCAACAAGAGGAAGGAAGTCTTAGCATGTGGAAAGTAGTCAACCTCAGAGAAAATTAACACTTCACAACATACCAAGAGAATGAAAATCCAATAAGAACATGGAAACATTAAAACTATGAGGAAACTCACAAGAAAGAACACAAAAATCATGAATTCAACAAAGGAAGACACACAGAACAAAGAAAGCAGCAAAACCACACACAAAAAAAACATTATGGCAGCAATTAATCAATAACTATCGATAATTACACTGTATGTAAATGGATTAAATGCAACTGTTAAGAGACGGAGGGTGGCAGAATTGAAAAGAAAACAAAATCCTTCAATATGCTGTCTGCAAGAGACACATCTCACACACACAGACAAAAACAGATTAAAAATCAAAGGATGGAAAATAACATACCAAGCTAATTGCAATAAAAAGCGAACAGGAGTGGCAGTACTAATCTCTGATGAAATAAACTTTAAGGCAGAAAAACAGCATAATAGATAAAGATGGACATTATCTCATGATTAAAGGGACAATTGAATAAGATGAAATAACCATAATAAATATCTATGTGCCCAATGAAAGAGCTCCAAAATATATAAAGCAAACTCTAATAGATTTGAAGAAAGAAATAGATGAATCTACAGTAATAGTGGGTGATTTTAATACACCGCTTTCAAAAATGG